GATCCTAGTCATACCTTTCTTCACTATCCATATTCCAGTTCTCTAGAAGATTTTGCTGCCATGAAATTTACCGCTTCTAAAAGTTTTAATTCACAAATCCTAAGTTTCTCCTTCAAATTCCAGACCTGAGTCAACAGATCAACATATGCCTCTCTGTCATCTTTATTTGTGTCTTTCCAATTTCATATATCTATAAATGGGATCTAGCTTTCCCCGATCTATTTTAACTCCTCATCTCTCACTGTCTCTCTATGCGGCACATCACCTACCTGAGTACTCAACCCAAACACCCGGCAGGAATCACTCTTATTCTCAGATCCATCCCTTACCAATCACTGTTGGGTCTACTTCCTAAATATACACCACCACCCACGACTGTTTTATCTCTATTCACACTGTCTCTACTCTAGTCCTAGCCATCATTATTTTTCCCCCAGGCTATTACAGTTTCCTGGACTTGCTATTTCTTTTTTGCCCCTTTGTAACTAATTTTCCTCACATTCTCTATGTAAATCACATTGTGTCACTCCTCCACTTTAGCACCAACATTGGCTTCTTATCACACTGAAGATAAAACAGGAAAACCTCCTCACCCTCAAGCTCTGTCCTTTTCAAGTTTGTCTTGAATGGCTCTTCTCCTTGTTCCTTCTCCTCTCACCACATGCGTCTTCCCTATGGTCCCTGAGCATGCATGCCCTTTCTAGTCCAAGGCTTTGTACCTGTTGTCTACCCAGAATGCCTTTCTTCTTTTCTTAGCATGACTGGCCCATACACCCTTCAAAAAGAGATAGATCTCCAGATTAATTTCTACAGTCATACCTGTTATGAGTTGGTTTGTACCTTCCATAAAGTCTTGGTACCTATAAATATGACCTTATATCGAACAGTGTTTTTTCAGAAGTAAGTGGTTAACAAAAGGTTATTCCAGGATAGGAGGAACCCTGCTACAATAAGTCTGATGTCCTCATAAGAATAGGGAAAGGCAGCCACAAAGGAATTATGCTGCCACAAGTCAAGGAACACTTGGTGCCATTTAAAGCTAGGATATGCAAAAATGAATCCCTATCTTGGGATGCTTCAGAAAGCCCATGGCCCTCCTACAACCTTGCTCTCAGAGTTGTGGCTACTAGGACTCTGAAAGAATAAACTTCTCTGTGAAGCTACCTACTTTTGGTATTTTGTGACAAAAGCCATAGAAAATTTATACATATCCCATTTACTCCCTTCAAAGTACTTACCATAATATTTAAATATCTTGATAATGGTTTTAAAAACTTCTGCCTAAAACAAATACATGAAGAAATGTTCAAAATCCCTAGCTGTAAAGAGAGATGCAAATCAAAATAACTATGAAATATCATCTCACCCCAGTAAGAATAGCAAAATTTAACAGAACAGAAAACAACAAATGCTGATGAGGTTGTGGAGAAACCAGAACTCTTATTCACTGTTGGTGGGAATGTAAAATGATGCAACCACTATGGAAGGCTGTATGGTGTTTTCTCAAAAAGTTGCAAATAGAAATACCATTTGACCCAGCAATTCCATTACTGGGAATATACCCTAAAGAAACCATAAATGCCATCCAAACAGATACATGCACACCTATGTTTATTTTGGCTTTGTTCACAATAGCAGATAATTGGAAACAACCCAAATGCCCATCAACAAATGAATGGATAGAGAAGCTGTGTTATATTCACACAATGGAATATTATGCAGCAATGAAAAAACAAGGAACTGACGGAATATTTCACAAAATGGGTGACCCTGGAGGACATTATGCTGAGTGAAAGATCTCAGTCATAGGAAGACAAATACAGCATAATGCCACTGTTGTAAAATAGGACTGACATTGGGGTTAGGGTGAGACTGAGAAAGATGAGGGAGAAACTGTTTAAAAGGGATATATGATTAGATATTATTATTATTTTGACAGGAGTCCAGAACAAAGGTAGAATAGTGGAGTGGACTTGGAGGGAGGGATTGAATAACAATGAAAGAATTTGTTCTTTTACTTTCAAAAAGAAAAGTGAATTGGGGGTGGGGGGTGGGCAGGGAGAAAAGTGCAACAATGAATGAATAGAGATTCAAAGTCTTTGTAAACTTGCATTAAAATAAAATAAAAAACCAAACTTCTGCCTAGAATGCAATGGATTTATTTATTGCACTAGAATGTAAGCTCAGAAGAGACAGATATTTTGTCTTAATCACTTCAGGATCCACAGCAGCTGGCACCATCTGGGCATCCAGTTGCTGGTCAATAAATACTTGGTAAATAAACAAGTGATCCCCACATTTGGAGCAATCAGCTGCTCGGAGCACAGTGTGAGCATGGACAAGGTGCTCACTGAGTGAATGCTGGGAAGTCATCATCAGCAACTGGACACTGTGCTGCTGCAGTCAATGGGCTGTGTCTCTTGTTTTCTTTTACCTGAGAATAGGTACTTCAGAAGGTGTGATTTTACTCAACCTTAATATATTCTTGAGAGGAATGATCTGGGCATAGAGTTTTTCGAAAGTGAAGAAATGAGTCTTTTCCACAAAGCTACTAAAAGCAGAACTCCGATTCATGAATTTTCTAATGGTAAGTCCCTGTGCACAGTGAAATTTCTCTTGGGTCACAGCTTTTGTGTGGTAGCCCTTTCTCTGAACAAGCAGCCTGATGACCCAAGGAATCATGGAGTGATGGTCTGTAAAACAGAGTTATGGTCTTCATATTGGACTGTATGTCCTAGAAGTACACAGGCTCCTTTCCACGCTGTGTCCATGGTGTGTTTTGAAGATTTAGTGACCTAACCGACAATCTCATGAATAAACATAGCAAGGATAAAAAAACCAAATATTTCACTGTATAATTTGAAAATAAAAATAAGAAGAACCATGGGTAAGACAGTGAGTAATACAGAAAATAACTACAGATCATTGTTGTTAAGTGCCATTGAATTAACTACGATTCATAGCAACCCTATGAACAGATCTGAATCTTGCCCTATCCTGAAACATCCTCATGATTTTTGCCATAATTGAGCCTTTTGTTACAGTTACTTTGCCAGTACATCTTGTTGAGGAATATGAGAGAGACGTAAAAGAATATTATGTATTTGTTGTTGGGTTCCTTAAAAACCTTTTTACATAAAGCAACAACTTGCACACATCCTAAATTGCATCATTGCATAGCCTAAAATTAGGAAGATGATTGAATGAGTAACTCAGAATCCTGTTTTATCATCCTTCACTGACACATGCTTGATGAGAAGAGGGGGTGAAAACCAGGAAGCAGAGGCTTGAGCTGGCAGAGCTGGTGCACAACTGGACTAGTGTGTGGACGCAGGAGTGTCAAGGTTAATTAGCACCTCACATCCCCACCCTCCATCTGACCTCTTCCTCACCCATCCAGAAGCAGGATTTATCTCTCTCCTTCCCTTAGTCCTTTGGGAGAGAAGGATGCTATGAACCACTGTGGTTTTAAAAAACTTTGTCCAACACAAAGGAAGAATATGCATATTGTGGTTTGAGAGTACCTTTCTGTATCATTCACATCATTATCTTCAATGAGCCCTTAGGAATGATCTAATATGCACAAGAAGCTACACAAAGACAGTTTTGGAACTGTAATTGAGATATGATTTTTTTTTTTTTACCACAGTCAGTTAAGAAATGGTGGAATTGAGGCTCAAATCAGCAAATGCCAAGCCTACCTAGAAGTGACAGTCCAAGAAGATCTGATAAATCCTCTTCCACTCCTCAGTTCTTACTGAAGGAAGACCAGATGGCCTCAGGCTGAAATGGATGCAAAGGCATTAGCTCCTTTCTTCTGGACAGTCAGGAAAAGACTCTGACAGCCAAAACCTCCAAATTACCAAGTGGATCTTCATTTTAGTATCACCTAGGAAAAGATGGAGGGAATTCTGGTGGCTTAGTGGTAAGGAGTTGTGCTGCCAATGCAGAAGCAGGTGATTCAAATCCATCAGCTGCTACTCCAGAGAAAGAAGGACAAACTCCTCCCATGTGATGAACTGTCTCTAAAAGCCCACTGGAGGGTCAGTTATGGGTTGGTTCTGACTCAACAGTAACAAGGGAAAGGTGGAGGATCAGCTAAAGAGAGGAAGACTCTCAACAAGATGGATTGACACAATGACTGTAGCAGTGGGTTCGGATATATCAGAGATGATGAGGATGGCACAGGATTGGATGAGGCTCAAATTGGTTGTTCATAGGGCTGCCATTAATCAACTCCACAGCAACAACAGGTTTGTAGGGATTGAAAGTGACAGTGCAGAGAGAGCACTTGGAATGTAGCTGGCACAGGCTAGACACTCAGTAAATGCAGCTGTAGTTTTTTTGTTTTAAATGAACACTCATACACACTCCTTTTCCACCTACTACTTTCCTCAATAAATAGACATTTAAAGGAAGCCTGGAGCAAATGATTATCTGGGATCCCTTCTCCTAGTACCTTTGAGATAACTGCTGGCTGGCCCTTCCCCCCTGGGGCCTGCTGTTCAGTGTTTCCAATACTCTCTGGAAGACCAATATTTGAAAGGACATTGAGGGACCTTTGCCAACCTAGAAGTGTTTCAGCCTTGCCTTGCTGTGTTTGCTAAGGGAGAATGGCATTCTTTTAGGACTTTCATTGGGATACAATTTAAATTGCATCCTCTCTCATTGGAGACGTAGGCAAGCCGGTCTTCACAAAATACAGAGGGATACACTACGGTCCCATTACAGTCTAGGTCCCCCCCATTAGATTTTTGGGTGAGAGCATTGCACGTTGTAGTGCATGACAGGGCTGAGTGTGTAGAAGTGGGTGTGTTTTCTTACTGATGAATTACAGTGCTCAGGTCAATTCAATAAACCCAAATGAGAAAAGCTGTTCCCAGGAGTGGAAGGGGTGTGGTATTAGGGAACTGAGTGCATGACTTGGGGTGTGGGGGCTGTGAAAGTGAAGGTGTGAGAAGGAGGGGCGTGCCAGGCGAGCGCGGGAAAGATCGTGGGGAGGCAAGTGCGTCTATTCCCACAGCGCCCTGGCAGCCCCTGGCTGGGTGAGGGGTGTGATGTGGGAGTAGGGTGGGAGGGGGCAGCAGGCGGGGCCTGCCACGTCACTTGGAGAGTGTGTGTTGGGAAGGAAGGGCAGAGCGGAGAGCTGAGCCGCTGCAGCTGCCGCGGCTGCAGTGGAGGCTTGAGCGGTGGGAGGTGGGTCCCCGCGCTCCGGCGCTGGGGCAGCCCGAGGCCCTTCTCCGAGGCCTGCGGTGCGGTTCGTGAGGTAGCTGCTGCGGCGGGAACGGCGGCCTCGGCCAGACAGAGCCCTGCTGTGGACGCAGGGCGGAGGCCGAGCCCAGCCAGGAGTCACTGGCGAGCTGGAGGGAGGCGCATCTGGCCCTTTGGTACCAGCTGCAGCTTGGGGTCTTGAGCTGTTGGAGAAGCGCCTCAAAACCTGGGAAGAGCAAACCTGTCTGCAGAGCGGAGCCCAGCGTCCGGGAGCCCAGTGCAAGGCACCACGAGTGGAGAAGCCACGCGTCTTTTGGAGCATCCAGTTTCACACGCGCCAGTTTGCGGTTCCAGGTATCCCAGTAACCTCCGGCACAGGCGCGGGTAACTGGAAGCACAGAGACAGATCTGCATGCAATTAAGCCTTGTCTTGAGACCTACTCTCGCAAGGGACCAGCGCTTCGGGTTCACGGACCCCACTACCAGGTCAGACTGCGAGCTCCTGGGCGCGCGAGCCCCACCCTAAAAGAGGGCGCAGCCAGGAGCTGGGAAGCGGGTGCCGCGCACTAGAGGTTGTGCCGTGGGCGCCGTCCTAGTGGCGGGGAGCGCATCGCGGAGGGGACATGAGATCGGAGAAATCCCTTACGCTGGCGGCGCCGGGGGAGGTCCGCGAGCCGGAGGGGGAGCAACAGGATGCGGGAGACTTCCCGGAGGCCGGCGGGGGCGGCGGCTGCTGTAGTAGCGAGCGCCTGGTGATCAATATCTCGGGGCTGCGCTTTGAGACACAGTTGCGCACCCTTTCCCTGTTTCCAGACACGCTGCTGGGGGACCCCGGCCGCCGCGTCCGCTTCTTCGACCCCCTGAGGAACGAGTATTTCTTCGACCGCAACCGGCCCAGCTTTGATGCCATCCTCTACTATTACCAGTCTGGGGGGCGGCTGCGGAGGCCAGTCAACGTGCCGCTGGACATCTTCCTGGAGGAGATCCGCTTCTACCAACTGGGCGATGAGGCCCTGGCGGCCTTCAGGGAGGACGAGGGCTGCCTACCAGAAGGTGGCGAGGACGAGAAGCCGCTGCCCTCGCAGCCTTTCCAGCGCCAGGTCTGGCTACTCTTCGAGTACCCGGAGAGCTCGGGGCCCGCCAGGGGTATTGCCATCGTCTCCGTATTGGTCATTCTGATCTCCATTGTGATCTTCTGCCTGGAGACATTGCCCCAGTTCCGTGCAGATGGTCGAGGTGGAAGCAATGGTGGTGGAGAGAGCCGAGTTTCTCCACTCTCCAGGGGGAGTCAGGAGGAAGAGGAGGAGGAAGAGGATACTTACAAATTTCATCCTGGCCTTACCTCGGGAGGCCTGGTGACAGGGAGCTCATCCTCTCTAAGTACTCTTGGGGGCTCCTTCTTTACCGACCCCTTCTTTCTGGTGGAGACCCTGTGTATCGTCTGGTTCACCTTCGAGCTGCTGGTGCGTTTCTCTGCCTGCCCGAGCAAGCCGGCCTTCTTCCGGAACATCATGAACATCATCGACTTGGTGGCCATCTTCCCCTACTTCATCACCCTGGGAACTGAGCTGGTGCAGCAGCAGGAGCAGCAGCAGGCCAACGGAGGCGGTGGCCAGAACGGGCAGCAGGCCATGTCCCTGGCCATCCTCAGAGTCATCCGCCTGGTCCGCGTGTTCCGCATCTTCAAGCTCTCGCGCCACTCCAAGGGGCTCCAGATCCTGGGCAAGACCTTGCAGGCCTCCATGCGCGAGCTGGGGCTGCTCATCTTCTTCCTCTTCATCGGAGTCATCCTCTTCTCCAGCGCCGTCTACTTTGCAGAGGCCGATGACGATGACTCGCTCTTTCCCAGCATCCCTGATGCCTTCTGGTGGGCAGTGGTTACGATGACCACAGTCGGTTATGGGGACATGTACCCCATGACGGTGGGGGGCAAGATCGTGGGCTCCCTGTGCGCCATTGCTGGGGTCCTCACCATCGCCCTGCCTGTGCCGGTCATTGTTTCCAACTTCAACTACTTCTATCACCGGGAGACAGAGCAGGAGGAACAAGGCCAGTACACGCATGTCACTTGTGGGCAGCCTGCGCCAGACCTGAAGGCAGCTGACAATGGACTTGGCAAGCCTGAGTTCTCTGAGGCTGCCCGGGAAAGGAGACCTAGCTACCTTCCCACGCCACACCGGGCATATGCAGAGAAAAGAATGCTCACTGAGGTGTGATTGATGCAGGCAGGGCCTGCACAAGAAAAATGGCCCTGAACAAACAACCTCGTAGACTTCCTTCTCATTGTTCGCAACTCTCGTCCTATAGCTCTGTCCAGCTGACTTCCCAACTCCCTCCTCAATGCCTTGTGGATGGTATCCAGCACCAAATACCTGAACTCTAAACCTCGTTGCTTGATCCCTGAAACATTCAAGGTTTCATGACATTTTGAAATTCCAATGGTGCCACCCTTTCATGTCCATCTCTGTTATGTGGATGAGATATTATGTTTCCCTCTGACTTTCCCTTAAAACAAATTTTTAACTCCTGAGACTTAAAAGATCCCTAAGAACAAAGATGCTGTTGGGATGGAAACCAGGCCTACCTAAGTCAAATATCTCTCTTTAGTACCCTCTGCTTTGGGGTATTTGGTCACTGGCAGAAGCTGGAGGACAGAAACAGTGCTCAACCTCCTAGTTTTTTTAAACACCCTGTGACACTTGTTGGTCAGCCTGCTAGAAGACCCCTCGTGGGACCCTTAACTGCACAGCCTCCAAATAGGCAACTCACCTCAAGTCTTGGGTAGAATTAGGGAAATTATAGTCCAGCATGACCTTTTGAAGGACAATAGGGTCAATCTCATAGATATGGATCGTTGGTCCTCTCAACTCTAATCCCTTGACTCCGTCTTCCAGGAAGGTTTCTCCTTAGAACCAAACATTCTTCACGTGCAAGTGCCTTCCTGTGCAGAGGAATGGGGAGAAGGGGACTGCAAGAGTCAAGAGTGATGGCTGTGCAGAGGCAAGCAGCTGGCTTGATCACGCATCTAGGAGAGGTGCCACTTAGCTGGGTGTTGTCATCTCTGAGGGCCGGAGGAATCTCAGTGCAGACTGCAGATTTCATTCCAGCCATCTTCCCCCACCTTCTCGAGCCCCTCCTTCCTCTTCCTGAGTATTTGATTTAGGCTGGCATTTGGAAGCTTACTAAAGCGACAGGTAAAAAGCACAATATGAATGCCAGCGTGGGTTTCTTCCCACCTCAGAGGCAATAAAATACATGGTTTGGAGTAAGGAATGAGTATTATTCCTTTGCCAACAACCTCAGTGTTAGAGGGTTGTGGTGTTTTTTGTTTTGTTTTGTTTTTTGCTGAGTCAAGCAAACATTTACCTGCCTGACCCCCCTCAGAGCTGAGGCCTATTTGCTCTCCCTGGTAAGGCAGCCCGGTGGTGTTACCCACCACCCTGAACAAGCCATCCTTTTCCATTGTGAAACTGCCTTCCATCCCCTCCCATTCCCCATCCAGAGTCGTTGTCACTCATCTCTGCCTCGATAAACTGTGATGTTCTATTCTGAGCTCCTTCTGGGCACAGTTCAGAAACTGAAGGGACTGTTACCATGTTTTTAATTTTGTATCTATGCTTTAAGACTCTTGGATGAGACATCTTCTAAAAATTGTTTTTCTTGAAGAGTGACTTTTTGAGGGTTTCTTGGGAGGCAGCATGGCTCTTGTGAGGACCAGATTTAATCTGGATTTTGCCACGGCTTTACAGGGTAACTTTGGCGCTATAGTTCCTCCTCGTGCCTCAGTTTCCCCACCTATTAAATGGGAACATTACTGTCTTCCCCTCCCTACCTCATGGGGGATGTTGATGAACTCATTGAGGAAGCTGGGGATGATGCTATGCAAATGTGTGCGTTTTAGTTACTGACTTAATTTTTAGTTTGTTACTTTCTTTCCCCATTCCCCCACCCCCCTGTGAGGCTTTTCCTGAGTCCTTGCCTTGAATCCAAAGTCCAAGGATAGGCCATAATGGGCCATTAGTTCCCTAAGTCCTTGCTTGGCCTCTTGTGCTGGCCTCAGTTTCTTCTTACCCTTCAGAAAGGAGGACGCTCTGTAGTTAGGTGTGTGGTTGGATTCTTTCAGGACTCAAGAGGTCACCTTGACTGGGAGCTTGTCTGTATTCAGTGGTTCTGAAATACAGAGAGAAAGAAAAGGTGCTCGTAATGCAGAACCTTGCTCTAAGGACCAAAGGTGTTGGTTTTTTGGATTTCCCCAGTCACACCTGGGCATTGAACAAAGAAAGGGAAGTACTCAGTCCAGAGGCAGAAGTGTTGCTCTCAGCTAAGGGTAAATGTTGGTCCTTGTAGGCATGTTTCTGTATGTGTGCGTATGTCATCATCCTCATCACCATCCCTCAGAAAACATTTCCTTTTCAAGTCACAGCATGCCTGGAAGTAAAGGGTGTGTGAAAGCTGGGCTCTCCAGGGATGCTGGTTGCCATAGCAACCTTCCCAGCCTGTTCTATCTTCTGATTTGGGCAGCAAGGGACAACAGAAGACTATATATTTCCAGCTTCCAGAATGAGCGGCTCTTCCACTTACTGGTTTCAGGGTCTGGGACAAGGATGCATGACATTGAGAAAATATTGGGGAAGCAGGTCCCCTAAACGTTCTCTCTGGATTCTTCTTCCTGGTTTCTCCACTCGGCCACTGATGCCGCTTCATCATCCCCCCAGTTCCTCAAACACTTGAATACTAAGTAACTTCCCAGTTAAACCAACGTTTGTCAAACTGGCAAGGGGAGAGCTTGACTAAGAGGAGTTGTTCCTCGAGAGGCAGCGGGGCTGGGCCTCGCAGACAGTAGAATAGTTTTGGGTGTCCTGAAGTTCTAGCTTCTCAAAGGAAAATGCTTCCCAGCTCCAAGAAAGACAGAGATGAATGAAACTCCTTCCTCCTGGGGGACAGTGTAGCTCCTGGGAGGAATCTCACAGGTGGATCTTCTTGAAGAAAAATGGCGAGCCTGTGACCTGACCCAGTTTCCAAGAAGGGTTTTGTCAAGTGATCCCTCTCCGACCCTGAGCCTCTGTGCGGAGGTTGTTCCCAGAGCACTGGGGCCACATGCACTTTGTGTGGATGTGACAGCTGGGCTGGGGTGGTGATGTCGCTGCTGCCAGGGGAAGGTGGGGCTCCAGTCATCCTTGTTACACCTGATTGCAGCCAGCAGAAGCTCCCAAAGGACTTTGTGGAACTGCTTCAGCCCCAGGCATGGGGTCTTCTACCGCCTGAGCGTCTGGAGGAGAGAGGAGGGACAAGGCTGTCTTTCCACCAGAGGTAGGTGCTGCTGTTGGGAAATTGGTTTTTAAGTCTTCTAGGCAAAATTAGAACTCGAGTGGAGGGGGTGTAGGTGGGCTGCAGAGTTGGAGAGGTTTAACTCCATCTATTTCCGGTTTCTTTTTTTCTGTCACCTTCCAATTCCTTGTGCTCCCCACACCCCATCATTTCCTTTTCTTGGTACTATTCTTTCCTTTCACCACCGTCACCTTCTCTGCTGTCCTCACATTTGTCCCCCCTCTGCCCACCCCTGTTGTTTTAACCTCTTCTTCTCCGTGTACCTTTGCAGCTGTCTGTCCCCCTCTGTCTACCTTTTCAGTGACCAGGGGCACCTGTAGCATTTCTGTTGAGGCCACGCAGTTGACCTGTAGGACAGAGGTGACTCAGGGTGTTTGCTGAAGGTCTCCAGCCAGAGAACTTCCCCTGTTTCTGACATTCCCAGCATGCCCTCCTTCCTATAGTCTTCCCCTTTCTGGGGTGAGAATCTTGAACTTACCGAGCAAGATGAGATTGCTATGCATATAGAAAAGTATCTCCCAGAAATTCCTGGAACCTGCAAGAAGAGGAGACAGATAGACTATAATGGGTCTGACCAATCTCAGGTGAATATTTCTTTTGCTCTAAGGAGCCCTGGTACAATGGCATGGGGCAGCCAACTGAAGGGTCAGTGGTTCAAATTCACCAGACCAGTTGCTCATGAGAGACTGATGGGTAGTCTCCTCCCATGTAAAGACTGACAGCCTCAACAAAACCTGATGGTGGGTCCCTGTGTGTTGAATCACTTGATGGCAGTCAGCTTGGTTTTTGGTTTGAATGTGTCCACCTGAGGCACCTCTAACATTAAAAGGCTTATAGATAATGTTAGAGACAAAGGAACAGAAGAAATAATAAAAATAATCAGAAAAAAGAGGACATAAGAAAGGATAAGGTTGGAATTAGTGTGGAAAATGCCTTAACTCAGGGCCTTGTAAGAGCCCTTGTCTTGCTCAGAGGTTCTCCTCAGGCTGTCTCTGTTATGCAGTAGAGGCACCACAGAAGGGAAGGTGGGGCCTGAGTCATCCACAAGTCTGTCACGAAGCTCAAAGACTCTCCGTCCTGGAGGTTATACAGTGTAGAGCAAGGCCCACCTTGGAACATCAGGATGAACTGAGGGACAACCCCCCCCCCC